ATCATTTTTGGGCTTAAAGAACGAGAGAATATTTGGCCTCTTGCTCTTTGATTTGACATTGGAATATTGAAATGACAGATGATTAAAAGAGATATTTAACAACCAAACATAAAATCATCATGACCTCTAGCAAAAAGAAAAAAAAATGCTATAATTTTTGTGCTCTAATTCCATATCTTATTAGCTCTTTAATGGAAAATAATTCATGCTTTTATCTTTTCCATCCCCACAAATTATAAAAGTTAAATTAATTTCTTGATCATAATTAAATCATAAAAAATTGAATTACTTTATTGATAATAATTAATTTCCTAAACATAATAGTTTACTAAATAAGATAATTTACTAAACAAGATAATTTATTAAACATGATAAAATATATTAAAAAAGGGAAAAAAGTACCTCGATATTCAGAAGATAAAAAATAAAGACAGTGATGTTGCGGGAAGGAGTCAAGCAGTAGCAATATTTCTCCTCACAAAATTTGGTATGTGTGTACTCTTAATGAACTGAACAAGGTTTCCTTTATTTGTTGTATCTTTTGAGTTGCTGAAACGCGAGCCTGAGAAAATAAGAATAATTAGTGTTTAGTGGGCTGAACTAAGCAATAAACCTTTCCCTTAAGGCTTAATGTAATATATTGTTGGTAATGTAATATATTGTTGGGTTGGATTTAACATAATTGAGTATATGTGGGCTGAATTAGTTAAGTAAGTTGGGCTATGTGGGCTAAACTAATTAAGTGAGCTGGGCTAAAATACCAAAATATCATAAAATATACATAATATAAATAGAGTGCGGATACACTTACCTGGGCTACAGCCCAGGTGCCCTATCCTGTAAATTCGCCCCTGATTATCGTTTCGTTATTCGATTCAAAAATCCTGTTTTTATAAACTTTGGAAATTTGTGATATTGGTCATATGTTTGAAAGTATTCGTTAAATTTTTCGAACGGTCGTAATGCTCGAATATACCGTCGAAATTTATTGCCATAAAATGTTTCAATGTATAGTGGTTTGTACTCTGCTCTCTGCCGTTTTTCTCTTTTTTTTCTTTTTTATTTATTACGCAGCCCAAGTTTTCTTTACATTATTTTGAGCCAGCATACCATTAGCCCAATCCATCCACAATTTTATTATCAGCAGCCAATTCCTTTTTCTTTTCCTTTAAATCTCGCAGCCCAATTGATTTCTGTCTTGATCCAAATTCGCGCGGCCCAGGAGGTGGTGATACGGCCTATATCGAGTGGTCCATCGACATATAACGCGTGGGCTACTTTCAGCCCGCGAGCCCGCAGTCATACAGTTGGCGGCCTAACATTCCTCAACAGTTTCAGCCGCGAGCCCGCACTCGGCCCGCGCTCGGCCCGCATACCTGCAACCCTTTGTGAGTTGGGCCGGACCCTTTTTTGTGGCCCATTCTTTGGGCGCCAGGCCCAATTTCACTTTAAATTTTTAGCGAAGTCCGCATCATCTTGTGTACAGTGACCCAAGTGCAGCCCTTTTGGCCATTTTGTGTGCCGGGAGCTTAATTTTCGTATTGAAACCATTTTTATAAATTATTATAATATGAGAGAAATCCAAGAAAAGTTATTTTATGTCTCGTGACCTATTTTCTTTTTCCGAGTCATTTTATTTTCAAAATTCGAGAGTTCCAGATCCACGAAAAATTCGATAAAATTCCTTAATCCTTATTTTTATTAAGTGTGGGTTTCAATTATTTCCGAGTAGTGGGATAAATTATTAATATATATTATCTCTCTTGAATGTAGGTGTTTGAGGAGTCGAGCCTCTGTCTACCACCGGTCATTATGTTTTTGTCTATCTCGATTGACTAGGTGGGTGTTGATAAACCTTACCTTGTATGTTATTCTTTATAATTGTTTGACTTGATAATCAATGTATGCACGTGAATCATTAGTCTTCGACAGTGTATCTACCGTTGATGGACGATTCTCATATTTGTGCCTAATGAGAGTGTATCTCCCGTGGATGATGGACCGACAGTTTAGCTCCCATTGATGGACGGTTTAGATGTGATAACATGAGCGTAGGGCTATATAGGAGGTAGAGTAGATGGTTATGATCATACACGACTATGATTTTAAGTCATTGTACCAAATAGACTGCATGGTATTCCAACAGTGAGCAAGTTGGTCGCTCACTCCCACTATTTTCCCCCTTTACAGGTTGAGCTGGCAACTGCAGCATAGGGCGAGCGGCGGGATCATATTATTTGTTGCTTATGATTTTTTATTGCTTCCGCATTATTATCATTATTGTTATCTCTTACCAGACATGTTAAACTTTTGAATTTGTGACTGGATGATGTACTTGAATATTTTGCATGCTTGAAATAATGAATTTGGATTTTTTGTCATTGGTAAGGATTTGATATTATCATTGAGGCATGTTTAACTCGTTTTGCTTGTGATGATGTTTTGGGATGGTTTATTCCCATTCGCTTGAGTTGAGTAATGCCCGTTAAATAGAAGTTGAAAATGATTGCGGAAATTTGACTCTGATTTTAAGAAAAAATCGATATTTTTCTTTAAAAAAAATGGGGCGTTACAGATGCTGCCACAGTTCCGTAGCCAACTGTTGAGCCTCCAGTCCTAGAGCAAGCCCAAAAGAAACCCCTAAACCCTGGATTTATAACGAATTCATACAAGTAGCCGTGGTGCCAACGTCAACAACGGTTAGACGGAAGAGGATCCGATGTATCTAGGGGGGGGGAGAGAAGAAGCACGATGAGGTAAGCGAGAGATAGCGGCCACCACTAGCTCAATGGTCGACGGATGGAGGGAATTGCGGCGGTAGAATAGATTTGCAATTAAAGAAGAAAAATTGAACATCACCGTGCAAGAAGAAACAACTGAAGTTGCTCATTTTTTTATTAATGTTGTTTTTTTTAGGAAAGTAACGATACATGGAGTTGCTTTCGTTTTATATATGGTCATTTGTAATTCACAACCACACCCAATCTGGTAAATTTACCACCTTCTTTTTTGTTTTTCGGAAACGATAGGAATATTATAAATCAAAAAGCACAAATGTGTGAATACACAGCAGCCAACGGCTGAATAAACAACAGCCAACAGCTGAAAAAGAGGGAGGACAGGTCAGAAGAGCGCCTAGAATCCCGGCTAGCAACGCTAGAATAAAAAAACACACGCTACAAAACTAACTAACAACACA